TTTATAATGTGTACATTTTGTGAACATATGTATTATACAGATTATACAGGGTACCCAAAATATTTTTCTCTATTTAGAAAAAAATTACATCTTTGCGGTGAAATTAATCCGTGTCCAAATAAAAAAGAAAGATGACGGGGAAAAAAGTCTCTCGCACAGTGTGCATATTCTGTTTCACTAAAATGAATTTAAAACTTTGAGCGAAATTAACGCTTTGGATGTTTCTCACTTATGAGCATTCCGTACTCTCAAATGTCAGCTTTGTGTGTTTCTAAATTTATAAATACAGGCGTTATCTGGATTCTATCAAGGGAAGTTTAACATTCTTATGGGAGCTTCGTTTCTCTCAAAGACTCAGGTTTCTTTATATATATATATGTATATAAGAAAACAGATGCTGCAAAAATGAAAGATTTAAAAAAAATATACACAGACCGTTTTTTGAAAATGTTTCATTATTTATATGACATGTGTGTTCCTGGAGGGAATCATAAAAAAAAAGTTTAAAATTGCAAACATGAAATGTATATTTAGAGTTGTTTTGTGGGGAAATAAAGGTTTTTTAAAGATACGGAAAAATGTAGAACATTGCTGCAATTAAACTGTGTATGGAAATATAAAGTTGATATTAAAATATAAACATGCACGTATATCTTTAATAGCGTTGCAAATACGTTTTAATAATACGATACTGTGTTTTGAAAAATGTATCATTCCCTTTTTTTTTGTGTATCTCGAGAATTCACCTGCATTTTTATCTTTCGATATTTCCTTTGGGAAAAGATGAAAATTCAATATTGTGAATTTCCAGAGAAATTATAGAAAAGAGGGAATTTTTGTTTAGAACATTGTTGCCACAGGTCAGGGAATTCAGGAAAAAGTCAGGAAATTTTAACAAAATTACTGGAAAAAAATTAAATTTTTAGAATTCATAAGAAAATTTAGAATTTTGGTGACTTTTTTGTTGGCCTCATAAAGTAACTTAAATTCTTGAAGATCTATCATAAAATTATTATCTGTTAATTAATTGTTTACCAATAATTTTACAATTAATAAATATGTATTAGAATATTGATATTTGATATGTATTAGAACATATATCACTGAACATATCACTGAATAAAATATTCTTAATATTTAGTAAATACTCTTAAATATATTATACTAAATGCTTCGAATACATTCTTATTTTAAGGGTGGTAATATACTAAATTTAAAAATACGGACTTTACGGACAAATTGCTGACAAAAATATAACCAGTCCGAGTCAAATAAGAGAACATTTTACTTGAAACTATAAATTTAATTTTTTATAATAATTAAAGATGATCGAGTGATAAAATCATTATCAATTCAAATATTAGTTTCAAGAATTTTTTACTAAAATTCTTCTTAAAATCGATTATTTTTAATAATTTTCGAAAAAGTTCTTTTACAATTTTCAAACCAATTTCTTTACAATATTCAATTATACGAAATTTCAATTATTCATAAATTGTTCCATTAAATATATTAGGGTCAATTGGGGTAAATGTAAACGGAATATCTATCTTTCACGAAAAACATTAGTTTATTTTTTGTTAAAAGGTAAAACGGACGGATTTCTTTTGCATGAACTTGTTACTAGAGTTCCCTAGAAAAATTTGATGAGGTACAAAAAAATATTGATGCACCTGAATCGCCTTAAACTGACTGTTTACATTTACCCCGAGATTTTGAAATTTTCCTAAAATTCGGGGTAAATGTAAACACCACTGTAGTTAAGCGAGGTTTAAGAAACAAGTTATTTCAAGTATACTACTGTTTTAAGGGATGGAAAAACTAAAAAAAAAATTCTTCGTAGATGTATAGTAAATCAACCAGTTGACGGATAATGTATCATATAAAATAAACAATCAACCATTACAAAATTAGTAATGTAAAAACTTGAATAACTTGAACAAATTTGAAAATAGATTTTCATTCAACTTGATAAAAAGAAGTTTTTAAGGTTGCTGAATAAAAATCTAAAATCGAATTTTTAAAATTCAAAATGGTGGATCCAATATGGCGGATGAACCTAAAAATAATATTTTTAAAAATTGATCAAATTTGCTTGAATCTGGCTACTAGGGGGTTTTTGAGGTCGCTGAATACGAATTTCAAGTCAAATTTTAAATTTTCAAAATGGCGGATGAACCTAACATATTTTTAAAAATTGATCAAATTTTCAAAAAACAATTTTTTTTTTATTATTAAATTTTTTTTTTCAAAGAGGACCTAATTTCCTTTTCTATGTAATATTTACATTGCCAAATTAATGAAATTGTGAAATAGAAGCAAATTTATTCAATTATTTTCTTTTAAAATGTAGTTCAAGTTCTGTTTACATTTACCCCGAGTTTTCGAATTCTCGGGGTAAATGTAAACACTTAATTATTTATTAACTAAATTGACGAAAATCAAAGTCAATTTTTGGTAGGGCATTAATAAGGAAGAATTACATATTTTTGTTTGATTTTTAAATTTATTTTTATTCAAATGCGAGACAAAATACTAAAACAGTAAAATTTTGATTTTCAATCTTTTTTGCATTAAAAAATAACTTACACTATGGCATTGCCAATTGTCAAAATAAAATATTGGCAATACTCAGAACATCTTGTAGGTGAGCTGAGGTAAAAATATTGACGTCGTACTTATTTTTTAATTTGTAAATTTAGCTGAAACATCTACTGTTTACATTTACCCCTTGTTTACATTTACCCCAAATGACCCTATATTAAAAAATATAAAAAAATCCTCAATTAAACTTTCTCAAAAAAATTAATTCCACAGAATTGTTAGTTAAAAATATGAAAAATTCAAATTTTAAAAAATTTTAATCTGAAACCTTTTTCAAATTCAATTATTTCTAAAAATTTACGCTCTAATGCTTTTAATATTCAATTATAATATAAAATTTTAACTGAAATCCATTTTTAAATCAATTTTTATGAGAAAATTTTACTAGAATTCAATTATTTAAATATAAAAAAACAATTTATTGAATAATTGCATCTTTCTTAAAATTAAATTCTTATAAAGAATTGTATCAATAAATTTTTAAATAATTGAATTCTTTTGACGAATTTTAATAAAATTTTTAAGAATAATTACATTTTTTCGAGGAATTTGATTAAAATTGTATTAAAATAATTGAAATTCTGCAATGAGTTTTATTATTTATCAAATTAATTTAATTACTTACTAATAAGAATTTTATTATTTACCAAAATAATTGAATCCCTGTAAAAATTTTATTATTTATATGAAAATAATTGAATGATTGCGAAGAAATTTATAAAAAAATTTGTAAATAATGAAATTCCTGTGATTATTATTTTTTGAAAATAATTAAAGGTTTGTGTTGAATTTTATTAAATTTTGTTTCAAATAATTGAATTATTTTAGAAAATTTTATTAGAATAGCAGGTACTTATTAAAAATCATTGAATTGAGGAAAATTTTTTGAAAATAATTGAAATTTTGCCAAGAATTTTATTAAGATTTTTGAAAATAATTGATATTTCGGAGAAAAATTTAATTATTTTTAAAAATAATTGAAATTTTGACGAGAATTTTTAAAAATTTTTTAGCATAATTGAATTTTTGTGAAGAATTTTATTACTTTTGAAAATAATTGAATTCCTACATTCATTTGTAATTTCTCTAAAATTATCCAAATTATATTGTACAGTTTACGGACTTTACGGACGTTTTTAAGAAAAACAGGCTTTTACGGACTTTTACGGGATTTACGGACCTAGTTCTAGCCCTGAGTATCTAATAATTTTTAGAGTGAAGCAGAAAATTCTTTAGGTTGAGGAAAAAGTGAAAATTCCGTCTGGAAATGAAGGGAAAAAAATAAAATTTTGGTGGCAATCCTGGTATAGGTTGAAACAGAAACTGAAGGAAAGTTACTGGGTGTTCTTCCATGAAATCCTTGTGGTGCAATGTTGCCCGAATTGTGTTTATTTAGCCTACAATGCGCCACCCGGCGACAGCAAGCCACAACCATAACTTTCTGGGGTTCCCGAATGTCCATTATTCTACGTTTATACATTCTTCTTCTCTCTACGAGAGAGCTCACTTGACTTACGATGTGTCCAAATTGTTGACGTTAAAAAAAGTCAGTTAAACTGAAATTAAATTCCAGAGAGTCAGAACGTTGTAGTGCTACATTTGCTGATTTAGATTCCATCATGAATCAGCCAACCGGCGTTTTTCCTTCGACGCCATTTCCTGCTTTTACTTGCACGCAGCGGCAACTTTAACCCGCGTTTAACACACTATTACTTTATAGTATGTGTCTATATACATATATGTTTGCCTGTCTGCCTAAGCCACTTCCACGAAATCTCTCCTACGAAAATTCTCCCCCTATTATACTGTCTACCCTATACGAGAACGATCCTCCTAATAGCTTTCAAAAACCATTACCATTTTAGTTTAATATATATATAATATATGAGAAAAATCAACATTCCGTACCAGTAAAGGATATATAATCATGTAGTTGTTTGAAATGTTATATCAATATCAAATTTACGTACTACATGCTTTAATGACATTTTTTATGCCCTCGGCATTCTCTTACTGTGTATAACTAGTGTATATATGATTTTCTCATGTATATTTGCTTTTGAAGAAGTGGAACGGAAGTGTACATATTTAAAGGTGAGAAACCGCTTCTTATACATACTCGCTCTCCCAAATTAGGGGAGATTCAACGCTAATGGACCCACTGTCCGTGAACCAACTTCCTCAACTAGATGTATATTATAACGTTATAATTTCCTAAAAAAAGAACAAGAGGCATCATATCAAATTGTAGGACACTTATAGCATACAATTTTCTAGTTTTACTAACTTGTACTAACTTGTACTAACTTTTATCATTCAATATTTAAACATACATTGCTGACATTCATTCTATTGGGGATTTTCTATAATGGAAATATTTTCTATTTATGTTACAGGTGAGTTCTACTTTGAACATCTGCTTCTATCTTTTCTGTCGCCCGTTCAATATATGTTTTCACCGTTTAAGGTAAATTTTATGACTTTATTAAATTCTATAAAGAAATGGAACTTTTCGTACAATATTATTCAAAATATTCATGGTTTTAAAAATGCTAATATTAATATTATTTAAAGCATTATTATTAAAAATGTTCATAAAATTATTAATATTAATCAACATATATTGTAAGGAGAGTTTTAATAAACATATTAATATTACACCCGAAAAAGGGTATATTTGACTCCAGAGCCTATTAAACTTTTTATTTGTTTCAAATAATTTTTTTCAACTATCGAATAAAGTTTGTATTTAAAACAAATAATTTAAAAAGCACTGAGACAAATGAACTTTTATTTAACTTAAATAAATTAAATTTAATTTAGATAAAATTTTTCTCTGGGTATAATTAAAATATTTAAATTAATATGAATATTAATATTAATAAAAATATTAACATTGTGTAATAATAACATTAATAATAGTAATCAGTGTTGCCACAAGTTAGGGAAATCAGGAATGTTAAAAATAGTAAAACTGATCAAGAAAATCAGGAAAAGTTATGAAATTTTATTAGAATTTCTAGAAAATTATCAAAATTTCTATAAAAGAATTTTTCTTTTTTTGATTTCCAGAGATCTTTGAAAATAGTAGGGGAGAGTCTCCAGTTGTGAGACGAGTTTCATTTTTGACCCGTAAATTGTAAACGGGTAAACGAAATTGTAAATAAAATGCACCTTTCGAAAGGTAACAGAAATACGCAACTTTTATTAAAAGAAAGTATAGTGTTTCGATGAACTCAAAAAATTTTACGATACATTTTCCGAGCACATCGCTTTTTTCAAAAAAAAAAAATGTCTCCAGTTGTGAGACACTCATTAAAAATTGCTAAAATTTAATAAGTTTGACATAAAACGTTATGTTTAGTAGAAATAATTAAATATATTAATAATATATATTATTATATACTATATAATAATATTTATTCGCCAAAATATGACTATCAAATAAACACAATTTAATAGCTTCAACAAGAGCATTAAAATTGATTTCTTCTGAATCAATTGACTTTTTTCCACTTGACATGCCCAAAAATACTAGAAAAAAAATCAAAACAACATTTAAATAGTATGCCTGCAAAGTCGTATTTTTTATGCTGCCCAGATGGGTGTTGACACCGTCTCACAACTGGTGATATGCTGTGTCTCACACCCAGAAATTGGCGCTATTTTGAAAAAGGAAAATTAAATTATTTTCAACCGTAGATTGGAACAATGCAATATTGCATCACAAAATATAAGGAAAACACTAAAAGAAAATGCATTACATTTACCTTTTCCAATTAATTAACTTGGAAAAAAAGTACTTTGCATTTATTGAAAAAACGCTTTTTAGTCGATTATCACACACAGTGTTGGTATTTAACAAAAACAGTTTATATATCCGCTTCGGCGTACACGAAAAAGTTGGCTCATATAAAAAGAAATGTTTTTATATAAACCAATCGGCTTTTTAATATTGCATGTTAAAAAAAATTTACTGTCTCACAACTGCGTGTCTCACAACTGGAGACTCTCCCCTAAAAATATTTTGTTCGATTTGCTTAATTTATTTTTTATAAAAAGAAAATTATTTCAATTTTGCCGGCATAGCAGGTTGGAGGATTTTCTATCAGTTGGAAAAATGATTATGTAAAGATCTACGTTTTCAATTAATGATATTTACCAACAGTCCTCTTATTGTGCTGAAACGCGCCAAAATGTATTCGAGAAATATTTCTCCCGCGTTATCTGTCCGGAATGTGGGGGAATTTTCCCTCGCTTCATTACTCTTTCGACAAGCAATCGTCTTACTGATCGCACGCAAAAACTAAAAGTATTTTTATATTTTAATAAATTCAAACTCTTTCAAATGAGAGAGTAAGTGCAGCAGCAAAGAGGTCGCATTTTTTATCTTATTCACCTCAATGCCCTGTCACCGAGAGGATTTTTAAATCCGGAGAACAAAACATATTTAATACTTCTAGAACTTTTTGGTTACCTTAAAAACGTTTAAATCAACAAGAATTTTAAAACAAGACCTTGAATTTTTTTTATATTTCCGACAATAGTTATATTGAACTTTAGACAAAATACCATTAAATTTATTTTTAATAATTTAATTCTCGAAGAGCTTATTTTCTAAAATTATTGTTTATAAATCATTTATTAGTCATTATAAGTCATATAATTTTACTTCAAAATTCGAAAAATAATTCAAAATTTGAAAAAGTTGCATTTAAAATTTTTATTGAAATTTTATTGAATTCAATTGTATTGAAGTTTATTTGAATTTTACTAAAATTAGTTGAATTTCAGAAGTTTTTCAATTTATAAATAAATGTAAAATTTTGTGTATCAAATCGTTTTTAGAGTGTATTAGAATATTCTATAGGTTTGGGAAAAAAGTAAAAAATTTTGTCTTGAAATCAGTGGAAAACAAAATTACATTTTTGTGGCAACCCTGGTAATAAATTATTCATAATAAAATTGCCTTAGGTCAAGGAGGCTTCAAAGCAAAGCCGAAGCTTTAGTTGGACAATTTTTTACACATAGTAATAATATTAATAGGATTTATAATAATCTTTTTTTTTAATATTTCCTTTTGTTTCATTTTACCAACCCCACATAACCTTGGAGTGCGGAATCCAAGGTATCTGTAGGCAGATTTCCCAAAAGTCCCTAAGCAAAAAAAAAAAAAAAATAATAATAATAATAATGATAATAGTAATAATATTAATAGTACTAGTAATAGTAATAGTAATAATATTGATAGTTTTAGCAATAATAATAGTAATGATAATATACCAATTTAGCGAAGTCTGACTAAAATAAACTTGCACTACTTATAATGGAAGTTAGAGTATGTATTTTAGTCTGACTGAAATGTACTATTACCACTGCTACAAAAAACGTTCATTTACCCATTTAATGAACAAATCGATTCTATTTCATTAGTTAAATTATTTATTATTAGACTAATATTAATAATAGCAATAATAATACATAGTTAATAGTAGGGGAATATAGTCGAGGTTGGACCACTGTCTAGGTAGGCCATTCGCGTTTTTTTGTCAAGTTCACTAGCGCCACCTACGCGCATTTTTGTCGAAGCTTGTCTTAGTGAAACCTAACTTTTTGTTCAATTACATTTTCGGAAAATCGAAAATTGTGTTTTCTGTGACGTCGGTACAAAAAAAGCTCAAAAAAAGTTTTGTGCATCATGTGAAAAACCATTAATAAAAGATAAAAAACAAATTGAATCGTCAAGGCAAGTATGCAGAAAATTTGTGGGACTCATGGTGGAAAGAAAAGCAAAGTAAAAAATCGAATCCCGAAACGTATTTCTTTATGGTTACAACAATTCGGTAATGTTACTTACTGTCAAGGTCGGCCACTTTGTGTTTAAAATGCGCAAAGATGACGACGAGCTACTTCATTTGCAAAAACTGCAATTCTGAATAACTCATATTATAATTGATCATCTTATTAATATTTTTATTTAATTTTATTAATATTTCAGTGCAAAATTTTTTTTTTTATATTTATTTTTTTATATTGTCTATTTTTATTATTTTGTTATTTCATCAAGTTACAAACTGTAAATAATAAAGAATCAATTTTCCGTAACTCCAAACATGTTATTTTATTTTTTAACGATTAATGCCCTTTGGTCCAGGACCAACCTGGACTACAAATTTTTTTTTTCTAAATCTTTATAACTTTTTTATTTTAAAACCAATCAATTTATTTTATAAAGAAAAGATGTTCCTATTAAACAGGACTTTCCAACCATATACTTTAATTGTCAAAATTCATTTTTAAAAAAAAGTTATAAACAAAAGTCAAAAAGTGGGCCGACCTCGACTATGTTTCCCTAAGATAAATAACAATAAATATTAAATAAATAATAGTTTTAAAATATTAAATAATTTTATTTTTTTGAAATTATAAAAAAATTTAAAATTATAATAATGGTAAATAATGTTAACTGATGCAACCGACAATTTATCAAAAGAAATAAATTTTTCATACTTTAGTTTGCTGTATTAAGATGAAATTTAAATATTCTAAGATGGAGTATACACTGGGTTTTAGAATAAGTATAAACTTTTGAGTGTAAAAGTTTACCTCTTTTTATATATAACCCGTGTGGAAAAATTTTAGGGCGCTAACCAAGCGCCTAATAGACTGTCTAACGTCTTTCTAGACCCAGGGCAGACGGTCTTGTCGAGCGGCTGTTCAGATTTGAAACGAAACTTCCACGCTATCGTCTAGAATAGACCAGCGTTTCTGGTCTGATCAGCAGTGCTAGTAAATTCTAATCTACGTCTATTCAAAATTTCTCATTATATGTTATGACAACTATTCTTAGAATGATAAAACTTAAGTATATTTGAAATAATTTTGATGACTTCTTTTTATCATAAAAAGTATAAAAAAATATTTTAATTTTCTGTATTTTTCACTTCAACTTTCTTTAAGCGTATGGCTTTTTGTGTCCCTCCCAATCTTTGGCATTGGAGATATAGTAGTCTTTTTGTAAAATAAAATTTACTGCAAATCAAAACAGCCGGATGAAACTAGCAGTCGTACTCAGCACCAATCTTTAGGCGTCAACCACTAATTAATGAAATTAATAAATAAAAACTTACTAAATTTGCTATTTAGTGGATATTGATTCTCAAATAACAATATTCGATGGTTTTTTAAATCATTAAGTATTACTAAATTTGAAGGAGAGGCATATCAGGCCATGTTACTTAACAGCTGGGCATACATCGACGCATGCGCATATAACATCCTAGACCAAATCTAGACGGTCTTAATAACACCGTACTAGGCGGACATATTTGACTTAGATTTTTTCTAATAAGCCCATCTGTTAAGTCACTGATTCGGGACTTGATGGACCGTCTAGAATTAGACGGACTTGATGATTGCTAATCGGGAAATCATTGGACTCTAGACTGCCACAATATTTTTCCACAC